GCGAAATAGACAAGGATTTGGAATGATAGCCACGTCTAACGTCTTGTGACGATTGCGGAGCTGGAAGAATGGGCCGTTGACAGCTACGAGCGGCCCCCCATGGCACGCTGACTAAGACACAAACACCACGCACATTTGAAGTGGAGGTCCCGATTCGATCTTTTTCTCCTGATACGGATTCGAACTATCGGGTTCATCTCTGATCTTCACCCCATCCTTGACATCTCACGACGCATTCACGTGATTGCGGGCTCAAGGTTCGATTCCAAATACTTCGTAGCAACCCCTGGGTAGGATTTCCTGTGATTCTAGTTCAGAGAAGTGTGTGTGATGAATCCCAAGAAAAGGTATGCAGAGTACAAATTACAGGACGTGATGTTGGGACACGAAACGTTCAAATCGGGCGCGCTCTCCTACCGTTCTTCTCCGCTTGAACTCCTTCGCTTAATCAATGGGCTTGCAAGTGAATGAGCCCCTAACAGTACCGTTGTTGTACTCGTCAACGATACCCTTTACGCTCGCGTAGGTACCGCAACCCAGAATCAATAAGCCCAAAACGAAGACCGCAGCATTCACCACAGAGAGGATGGTGTTCCACCTTGTGGCGTTCCACTTGCCCTCCTTGATGAGCAAGAACCACATCAATGCTGGGAAGTAGAAGGTAAATCCTGAAATGAACAGAGCGGACATGATACCGAGCAACTCCGAGAAGAAAGGAATCGCCTCGGCAATGACGAAAGCAATTACGGTGATGAAAGCGACAAGGCCGAGCCATGTAGCCCAGCCCATGAAGGTATTGACGTATCGGATGATGGAGTCCTTGAAGACTCGTCCGTGGATGTAACGCGCAACTACGGTGGTGTTAATGGAGCCAGAGATGAAGATGACTGGCAACGCAATACCGAAGGCGACCTTGGACAGGGTGGTACCAGCAGAGAGAAGTGCTGGGGAGGCAACATCGGTACCGACAAAAGCGTAGATGAGAGCGCCGGTGAGAGTATAAATGACAATCTCGATGATGCCGAGTGCCCAGATACTCTTGACGTAGTCAGTTGGGGTGTGCATCTCGTCCATGAACGAGAACTGACAAACGGCAAACGAATAAGCAAAGACAATGTTGGTGAGAGCGACCCAGGCCTCAGCAAAAGTGGTACCTGGCTTGGGCCAAGCGGACCACTCTGTGGGATTGGTGGCTGCAACGACGTTATTGGATCTGATACCAGTGCCGATTATAGTGACACCAATGGCGACAATGATGGACGCAAAATCGATGTAGCCCAGGACGGCAACTTCGGAGAAAGTGGGTGGCACGGCGACGATGAAGAGGATAATAGCCGAGATGACACCAAAGACGACGGAGCAAAGGGCATCGCTACTAAGGGTGAGGAAAGCGATCGTGCCAGTGAGACAGTGTGAGCCTACCAGCAATGTCAACTGAAGAGCAAACATGGCGCCGACAAGCTCGTAACCGAAACGACCCATCATGAGTTGACCAGCATCAGCGTAGTGCGAGATGTGAGGGAACTTGATCTTGACCTGACCGACGATGAACGAAGTGTAGATGGCAATGATACCGACTCCGACGCAGACAATGACGCCGGCGACCATACCGAGAGTCGCAAACGCTGATGGGATCGAAAGGGCACCAAGCGCGATAGCTTCGACAATCAAGCAGACGGTGAGTTTCTTCCAACCGAGACGGTGGAACCTGTGATCACCTTCGGAAAGCTTCTGCTGCTCGTACATGTAATCCTCCTCGCTGCGGTACTGCTCTCGCTTCTCGCCAAACACGGTCTGCGGAACTGGCTCGCTCGAAGTCATCTTGGGACCATCGTCGTGAGGCTTGATGCCATCATGAGTACCGGTTTTGTCGGCGTCGACGGTCAGTGTTGGAGAAACAGATCTGCTGGAACGATCTCCGTTGGGAGAAAGGTGGCCAGTCGAAGCCATCTTGGACGCTTTTTGCTGTGTGAGCGAGTATTGGTCGAAATGTAGAAGTATTAATGGCAAAGGTGGACCCTGTCGATGCGGGCGACAGAAAAGGAGTTGGGAGAACAAGATGTGGAAAGTAGAAATAGAGCCCAAGGGGCAAAGGAGGTGGTGGTTGAGAGACGAGAGCAAAGGAAGTAAGTACAAACGGTCCGCAGTTTGAGGAATGGGCAGAGGGCCAATGACAAGGCTATAAACGGTGCGCGCTCGCACGATGGTGGAGAGTGCCTGAACCCGAACCTATCCTCTACGCTGGCTGGGCCTTGCGACTTGACTTGCGCTTTTCACGGTCGTATTTTTGGCCACTATGGCCGAGACTGAATATTCACATGATGGGACGGCTGTTTACAATGCAAAGAAAGCGAGGTGGGTGGGGTGAAAAGTATATTGCGCCTCCTAGCAAAGTACGAGCGTTGCTTATCGTTTCCGCTATGCTAGCATCGGCTCTGAGGTCGATGGGTGTTTTCGTGGACCATGTTGCGACTTTGGCTTTGCTACATCCTAATCACTGCTAGGTCATATGTCCTGTGTAGAAAAGGATTCAAGCAGTTGCCGTCAAGCGGCGACATATTCTTGTTTCAAAGTGTGCACCACTGGCGGGTGCAAGTGTTTTTTATTTTTTATTTTTGATCGAGAATTGCTGTCTTTGCGCTCAAATCGGCGGCTGCTGAGCTGGACAATGGGTAAAAATATTCCGAAGGTCGGCTAGACACGAGAAAAGAATCCTGCGTGCAGTTCAGCCGCAGCTCCTGCTTACTGTATGCACCTGATCTCTTCACAAAAAAAAAAAAATTCCTCTAAACGTCATTCATCCACAACTCACCAAATTACCGATCTGATCTAGACTGGGCGAGGCAATAGAGCTCGTTCGCGTCTGCTTTTGCTGTTGTCGAATAACCTCAAGCTTTTCGGTGCTGCCTATCATCTTTGTCTTCCGCCAATGATGAGACGAATGCTTATCTCATTCGAGTGGGGACGTGGGCTGATGAAGTGGGACAATTAGGCGAGTGGCTCATCGAGCGACTTGCAACACGACCTTGTTAGTATGGTCCAGTAAAGTGATTGGCAGGCGAGAAATCAAGCTTGGAGTGTACCTGTAACTCATAGGTCGACAACCGCCAGCTGAGAATTCGTGAGGGGGGCCACTGCAAACGAAAGCGGTCTATTCTCTTGTGGCGTGTGACCAAGCGTGGTCATGCGACACTGCCTTGAAAGTTTTCTGTATGCGAGCTCAAGGCGAGCCATGATTGGCACCGATCATTAATCAAGTCGACGACGCACGGTTATTAGAAACAGGTCGTTCTCTTCTGACTAGTCCTCCCAGTGTCTCTGTCTTCAAATAAAATCAAATTCTCCTGCTGCTCTGTTATACTGTTTTGGTGATCGACAATGCGTGCTGATCCAAATCGGGTTCAGTTGCTGCTTTTTGGTTGGGTCTCATTATTGCAGCTCACCGTTCATAACGTATCCGGATTCTTCCGATCACTGAGAAAGAGCTCGCTATACTCCTGCAGACGCCCAGTTCCGAATCTAAATATCCTGAGCAAGCAAAGTCACAAGGTCATACGTAGGTGTTCTCTATCCCTTTATTTTGCGGGGGAATTGGTTTTAAATTACGACTTGGGACGACATGCCAGTCTTCTAAATTTTGCTTCTTTTGTTGACCGGTGACGTTTTTTGCTAGAAAATGCACTCGAAATTTCGAACAAAATTTTGAGCTCGCCTGCTCGCCTGTGAAGTTTCGAAATCGGAGTCGGCAGCAAATGTCATGGAAGTGTGACTCAAAAAGAAAAAGAAAACCAACCATAAAATTGTCCTAACGAATCGGCGGCCAATGATCTCTTGCATCATACAGTACACTGTACAAGTTCAGGCCTCAAATTTCTTTGTGCAGCCGACAACACTGTCCGTGCCCACTTTGACCTCACGAACAAAGCTGCGCTCTTGGCCTTGAAGCGCAAAAACTCTGCGAGATACAAAGATTTGCGAGAAGTCCGAGATAAGGCTCGCCAAAGAGTAGGGTGAGTGTAAGGCGGAGGAGTGGAATGGTAGCGTTTGTGCCGAACGACCTGTTCTGCGGCGGGATGGGGGGACTCTTCATTTCGGGACGCCAATCCCTGCGGGCTCTGCTGATCAGAGGGGGGAGCCGAAACACTGTTCCGCGAACAGACGATGATCTATTTCGCCTAAATTTGCCGAGTTCTTAAGAAATATGAAAAAAAATTAAATTAAATTGAGCAAAGTACCCGTCAAGTCAACAACGCGCTCGTTTCCTCGCTGCATTGATCTGCCCTTTTTGGGGCTTAATCTTGTCCGCGCTCTGTATCAATTCAGTGTCTTTGATCGTCATTGGCCGTTATCTTAAACCCTCGAGATAGCGATTGGCATGTCGTCCTCATTTGGGCAAGAGTCGAAGCCAAGACGAGCAGGATGATCCGAAATGAGCGGCAATGGACGCTAGACACATGAACCTCCCGGTGCCCTTGAGCGGGTCTTATTTTGCATTCGGAAGCAACGTCCCGAAACGCTGCGCTCTCGACTACCAAACGAAAACCTCGGTCAAACTCGCCGGCCAATCATGATTCAGCTTCCCTCTCACCAAGCGTCGAACTGTCAGAATTAAGATTTGGCTTGGCCTGACTTGGTTAGCCGCTGCTGTGAGACAGCTTTGATTTCCAATGGACCGCAGCTCACTGCCAAGGAGCTGCTGGTGCCAATTTTCCCGACCCGGCACAGGAACACTGCGAGTTGAACCTGTCTGATGTCAATCCAAAGTCGCCTGCCTTTTGGTTTGCACGCCATCTCATCAGCACATAGATTTAGGCTTTTCCTTTCAGGGACCTTGCTCGTCTTTTGACTCTGCTAGCTCCTCGATTACGCAAGTTGCTGCCTACTTCGAAGCGGTAATTGTAAATTTGTAACATTACGGTATCTCCCACAGCTTCCGCCAAATAAAAAAACAAGAGAAATAGTGCGCTTTGAGACAGACGTTAAAAAAAAGTTAAAAAAGTCTCCCAACGTGGGGCTCGAACCCACGACATTCAGATGTGACCCAAGCGTGTGCTTAGAAACCCTTTTTGTAAGAGTCTGACGCTCTACCGACTGAGCTAGCCGGGATAGATTATAAATGTTAGCAACAAATTGTAGACAGATCTTAAATTTTGTAGGATTTTGTTACTTCGAGCGGAAGTCGGATAAAGTGAGGTGGAGGAAAATTTTAGGGGAAAGGGTTCTGTCGCCGATTTCACTGGATACCTGTGCAGTCAGGAATAAGTGCTCAGACCTCCGTGTTTCAGTGTCACTTCCACGCTCGTTCCCTCACTCTACCTCCGACCAACTGTGTTGCTCGGCCACTTCTGTACACAGCTGATCAACCCCCAACCACGAATTCACCTGCTCGAAGCTGGAAGGCATTCTTGCGGCCTCCTATCACAGCCAAACAGCAGAGTTGCAACTTTTTTTCAAAGTGGAGAATCTTTCGACACTGTGACCACCCAGTGCCGCAACGATGCTTGGCGTCCCAGCTAACAGCCGCGTGACTTCGAGCACCTTCTATCATCGACCCGGTGGTCTCTCTGTCTCAGATGTGGACATCGACATCGAGGGCGCCAGCGGCGGGCGGGTCGATGAGCTCTATGACGCCGGCCTGCCATGGCCTCTAGATACCAATGCGCGCCCAGCGTCATGGTCCGCAAAAGGCCCGGCAGAGCACATCCCACGTCTCTCTCTACTCAAGAGCTTGCGATCTCATCTCAAATGGGCTCACGCAGGCTGGTGGGATGCCAATCGATGGTCTGAAGCACTCAAACTCATAGCCAGTTCTAGCGAGATCCGCAACGGCGTCCTCAAAGGTCTCCTGCTCAGCAGTACCATCTCTGCCGTCGTATTCTTTTTCGAACTCGCCTTCTTTCCCAAAGTGCTCTTCCGGCAGAAGCCTTCTGCGCAACAGATGCAAGACATGACGCCGTCCGATTCCATCGTCGGTGGTCTGGGAAACGTATTCTGGCTCTATCCTCTCATCGGGGGAAGCTACCTACTCGCCTCTTCGTGGACATCCGACATTGCTCAAGCCGCGTACAAGCTTCGACATGGCCATGCCAGGCGATTGACCCTCGCCAACCCTTCACTCCCACCAGGAACGTCACGGCGTTTGCTGCATGAGAGCTACCGCATGATGCTCATCTTGAATTATACGGTCTTCTACATCCTCCTCGCACGCATTCCCTATTTTGGTCGACTCTTGTCCTTCCTCTTCATGTGCCTGGTCGACGGATACTACTGCTTTGAACAAGCCTGGATTTCGCGAGGCTGGTCACTCGATCGGAGAATGCGGTACTGCGAAGAACGCTGGTCGTACTTTGTTGCCTTTGGCTTGCCGAGTACCGCCGTATCCTTCTTCCACCCCAGTGGCCTGCTGAATCTCATGCTGTTCATGCTCGTCTTTCCCTTTTGCACGGTGCTGGCTATGTTGGCTGATCCTCAGCCTAGAATATCCGCATCAGGCGCGATGGCTGCTTCGACAAACGGGTTTGGCGTAGCGGGAGGCCGCGATTATGCTGATGGTCCGCTTCATATGCTCATCCCTTCGCGCTTGCCCGTCTTCTGGCCCACGGTGAAGCTCCAGCGTGTCGTGCTCAAACTGTTCCCGAGCTTCACAAAAGCACCATTGGCACCAAGCGCACAAGCCTTTGAGCGCAACACAAACATGTATGGCCGAACAGACTCCGGTGCTGGCGGATTTTCGGTCAACGGTGGTTTCGGAGGCTTTGGCACAGGTGGCAAGAGGGCGGCGGAAATGGTGGGTGGGATCTTCAACAATGCGAACGGGTACCGCAGCAATGCCGGGTCTGGGCGAAACTCGCCTTCACCCTGGGGTGCGGCATCAACAGCGTCTTATGATGCAGTCAACGGTGAATGTCAGCCAAATCAGCAGATGCGGTTTGCTGGTGGCGTTCCAATAACAGCTGAGGCAACAACAGGAAAGTACAACACGGCAGGTCAGAACATGTACTCGAGAGCTACTACGGCGCCTCCGAATGCCCCCCTTGCGCCCCCACCGAAAGGTGCCGCTGCGAACCACAGAAAGAGCGATTAAGTCAAGTGCATCATTTCATTCGTATCTACTGTATCTCAACGAGCAGTACAGTACTGGATCACATCAATAAACTGACTTTGACACAACGAGGGGCTCGATCGTGGTGGGTGAAAGGGCTGGAATGAAGTCTGATACAAGGAAATGAGGGAAGGCTGAATCTCTCCCCACCCAATAAACAGAAAGCACGACAATGTGTGGGCGAAAGGAGGAGGTGAAGAGTGGCTTCAAAATACGGGGCAAAACCTCTCTCGATAAATTTGGTGCAATCTGGATTGCATCTCGGTCTCCACGCCAATCATATCTGCCTTTGCTGAAGGCGTGGTAGAACATGACAGAAGCGTATATATGAACCGCTCCTATCTTCGAAACGGAAAAGTTTTCGCCATCAACCCTTCAAGCGTCAGTCAGTCGTCTGCCAGGATGTTCAGCGCTAGCTTCTCCACCCTTCTTTCAGGTGTCCTCCTCAGTAGTAGTGCTTTGGCTACCATCCAGCATAGTTCAATCGCCCTTGACAAGCGACAAAGCATCGACCCCAATATTTGTTGGACGCAGTATCACGATAGACCTGACCTTTGCCAAGTACTTCAGGTGGCCTACTACAGAGATGCTTCATGCAATGCTCCTCTTTCCCTACACAGTAAGGTCCACGGAGCCACGATCCACGGCAACACTCAAATGATTTGGGAATCGGCGGTAGCTCACACTATCATGCAAACCTTCGGATCCATTCGCATTGTTGGTGCCATCGAAGGTCTTGCTCTGGGGTTTGGCAAACGCGAAGAGTCTGACACCGTCGTTCAGAACATGGCCTACATGTCTTCCGCTGAGCTCCAAAGAGCTTACCGGACCAAAGCTTGTGTCACGTTCCCCAACCTCGACGTCGAGAAAGTGGGAGTTTGGACCGTGAAGGCTGAGAATACTTTCAACTCGGAAGGATATGTGTGGAATCCACACAACATTCCCATCAAGAACACTCCGGAGTGCAGCGGTGCCAAAAAGAGCAAGACAAAACGTCAGTTGATGTCGCATCATCGCTATGGCAATGCGATGCCGGTTTGTCTCAAAGGAGCATCTTGGGGTGGAGGAGGCGTTTTGATGCTGTACGATTCCGATGATTGCTCTGGAGAAGGTAAGAGGCAACTCTACAGTACCGCTCAATGTACACCTTTAAGCACGACCACGACTGGTTTCAAATCCTACAAGGCAATCGAGCCTCAAGGCGATACGATTGATACCATTTTCAGTCCTATCTATTACGACATGGGTCAGTCTGGCTATCACGCTTGTTCTCCGAAAGGCGTCACTAAAAGACCCTTCAAGCCGAACGAATGCCAGAAGTTTGCTGGAAATGATATGTTCGTGGGTGTGTACGGCAACGACCCCAACTATCCCCAGTCCGGTCCCGACCCAGGTGTTAAGATTCTGCGCCAAGCTCATGGACATCACCTATTCACCCGTAACCCCATGCACGGTGGCTTTTCACGACAGGTGGGCGGGAGGCCCCCGATCTTGCCATGATTAGGTCCTTTTCAGATATCTTTGTTCAGCCTCATGAATAGTTTTGGAGTCTACCTCTTTCAGCTTTTTGTTGCACATACGCTTACCTTCCTGCAAGATGTTGTATTTCAGCTTGAAGTGTTATGAATGAGAGCCGCCAGCAAAAGTTGAGGTGTGCGACAGATTGCGGGGTAGGCTTCTTGTGCCGTAAGGGGATCCTAGTAGAAAAACGGTTATGAGCGGATAATGGTTTCGGTTATTTTGCGGAACTGTCGACCATAAAGCATGGTTACCCCGCAATCACTTTCTTCCGCACTCCAATCTTTCTTTCCTCCGCGTTTGCTGGTGACTTTCGGTACCACGAGGTCTGAAGGTAGATCCTGCAGTATTGCCGGCCACTACAGCGAAGAGAATGCGAGTGGCTTGTGCGAAGACATGCAAGTGAAAACATCGCATTTCCTTACTACCACCATCCAACGAAGCAGGGAGAATCAAGCAGCACAATGGCAGCCGCCAGCAGTAGCACTAGCAAGCCCAAAATTCTCCTCATCAATGGACCAAATCTGAACTTACTCGGCACACGCGAGCCACAAAAGTAAGTGTTCAACCAACCCTCCAGTATGTTTCTTCCAACTCTTCTGACGTGGATGCATTCTGTGTCGCAGATATGGCAAGGAGACCCTCTCCGAAGTAGAGAACAAGGCTCTCGCTCGATGCAATGAGCTGAATTTCTCTTTCGAAGCCTTCCAGAGTAATCACGAAGGTGCCATCGTTGACCGAATCCACACAGCAGGAACGGATGGCACCACCGCAATCATCATCAATGCCGGAGCCTACACTCATACTAGCATTGCGCTCAGGGATGCACTCAGTGGAGTGTGTGTGCCGTTCATAGAAGTCCATGTAAGTCTCTTGCCGCCCCTGTGGAGCAAAAGTATGTGCATCGAAGCTGACGATTTGAGTAAAAACTCTTTCATGTCAACGTCGTTGGTTACAGATAACGAACATTCACGCCAGAGAGTCCTTCAGGCACCGTTCGTACCTATCAGATATCGCCAACGGCGTCATTGTCGGCCTGGGTTCATTTGGGTATATCGCAGCAATTTGGAGCATTGCTGAGAAGTTGAAGCATGGTGGCTTTAAGTAAGAGGCTACAGCGAGTGCTCCCGGAACATTACGGATTACATGGAATGATTCGAATCACACTGTCCTACTGTATGCGTCTGGCAAGCGTGTGAATTTCACCTATGGCAGCATAATAGGTTGTCAGCCCCAAGAAACCGACTTCATGATTTTGGCAGGTGTCGAAGGACGTGTCGAAGCAATTCAGCTATTGCAGCCTCAATTTCTCCGTGTTTTCTTCAGAATGGCTGTGTTCAGCTCGGAGGGTCGATCACTGTGCGATAAACGAATTGCCGGGTATATCAGATGAAAAGGGGACGCAGCTAAGCATCAGCCTCAAGTCTGATATCTAGGGTCATCTTGTCCTTGTCAACCCCTGCAGCGTGACATAGGCCGCAATTTA